GTCTGGCTCCCTGGCCTCCCCTTCCTCCCATGCCCTCCTCTTCAGCAACTTCTGAATCAGCTTCTTCTCTACACTTGGTTGCCTCAATCTTGAATGAACTCTGGAATTTCAGCTTTTACATCCAGGGTTGTACCTGTGATTAGGACAGTGTGGCGTGCAGCCAGCACTCAGTGTTTGAATGATAGATGGCATGAGTAAATGAGTGTGTGTTCAGAATGCAGTTTTAATTGTTTGTCTGGCCTTGGGTTAGTGCCTTCCCAAGCAATACAGACTTATGGGCTCCCTGGGAAATTTACTTTGTATACAGACTTGACACAGATGTCTGACCCCAGTACGCCTCTCCCCTAAACTCCATCCGCAAGACTTTCTCTAATCTTTAGGCCAATTTAGGTCCCTTCCCAGGCTCTGTCCCCTGCAAGGTGACCCACAGTCCAGTTTGGCATTGCTACTTTTCTTCAGTGTTGCCCTCTAATTCTGTGGCACAGTGTCTGTGTTTCTCTTAACCGAATACCAGCTTAGTGCTCCAGCTGACCTTGAGACACAGATGTTCACAGAAGATAGGATTAATCTCACAGACAGTTTCTCTCTTCCAGGTAGTTCATCTTAAGGTCTTAACAGTTAAAGTCCTTCATACAGAAAAAAGGTACGTTTGGAAACAGGTTTTGTTGTTTCGTATTTGTTTGTTTTGTCTCCTTTGTCCCAAAGTGGCCTGTGACTCCTTATATATCCCAGGATGACCTTAAACTTCTGATCCTCCTGCCTCCACCTGTGTGCTGGGATTATGTGGGCCACCACACATGGTGTATGCAGTGCTTGGGATTGAACCCTGAGTGTTGTGCTAGATAAACACTGTGACAACTGAGCTAGACCTTCAGCCCAGGAAACATGACATTTGAAGTTTCCTATAAACCCTATTGTACTACACCATGGATAGACCATGTCTTTGCCATTTAGATTTGAATGTGTTGCGTGCATCATTTGCATAGGACTTAGACATTTACTTAGTGTTGTCCTGTGGAAACCTTAGCATGTTTATTTTCACTCAAAGATTGAGAGCCTGGGAGTCTGGAAGAGCTACATCTTAATCCCTTCCATGGATGCGTTCCCAGGCTCTGACCCTACAACAAAGAGTAGCTCAGTGTCCCAAAATGTAAGACAAGAGCTCGGTCAGTCTGCAGACTCTTGTATCCTCTATTATTAGTGCAAGGGCTCATGCATGGACTTCCGAAGATACGTTATTTACTTTTCTTGTGGCTGTGACAAAGTACCCAACAAAAACAACTTAAAGGAAGAAAGATATATTTTGACTCTCTGTTTGCAGGGTACAGTCCATCAGGGCAGGGAAGGCAAGAACACAAGGCAGCTGGTCACATTGCATTTGCCCTCAGGAAGCAAAGGCAGATGAATGCTGGCATTTGGTTGTTTTCCTCCTGTTTCTCGTTTTACTCAGTCTGAGATGCAAACCCCAGGCATGATGTCATCTACATTCAGGGTGGGTCTTCCCTTGGTTAGGCTTCTGGAAACTCTCTTATAGCCATACCCAGAGGTGTACCTCCTTTTTGATTCCTAATCCAATTAAGTTGATAAGGAAGATTAACCATCATAGAAGAGTTTATGAATTTCTCAAATGATGCACAAACTCTAGGTGATTAACTTTTGTACGTTTTGCTCACAAGATAGTCTAGAATTTCTCACCAGATTTTTAGGGCCTATATATCACCCAAAGTTTAGAAACTACCAATAAAGACTTTCCTTAAGACCTTTTTGGTTAATTCTGCCTAAATTACAAGAGGAGAAAGGGAAGAACAGGTGGCTCATGCTGAGTTCAAAGGTTCTACCTCTTCCCCTTCCAGTCTGATAGATCTGGAATCCTCTTTGGACCTCCATTTCTTCCTGATGACTCAAGGGGCATTAGAGTGGCTATCATCTAAAGCTGGATTGACATCCGTGTGCATTTCCTGCTATGGTCCTATTGGAGAGTTCATCTCAGACACAGAGGAGCATTAATGAACTAAATATAATTCTCTATACATTAAAAATGATATTTTTATTTTTTAAAAAAACTTTATACCTAATTCCTGTTTTTTTATCTGTGAGACACTGGTTCACTTGCTTCCTAAAGAATACCAGTATCAAACCAGGGCCATCACTGAAAAGAGAAAAAAAATAATAAGAGCAGTAACCTGACATTGATAATGAAACAGGAGACATTACATCACTTATTCTTGAGGAGATGGAGAGAGAGAGCCACAATGCCTTGACTGCACATGAGCCTGTGAACCTGCAAGTCATTTGAGATAGGCACATTTATACATTCAAGAGGATGTTTGTTATTATACTTGCCCCTACCATTAGCAGTACTTGAAAAGAGACTAAACATTTGGAAAGATTAATACTTTATTTTTTTTCTGGTGGTCAGAAATTGAAAACTGCTAATGCCCGAAATAGGAGAGCAGCAAACCATGGTGAAAAGTCGATGGAAGAGCTTAATGTGGCCTCTGCTCGGCCCCCAGAGCATTGGAGTCTGATGTTCTTCATTCTGTCCAGGGCCAGTCTGTGAATAATTATATTAAGGAATTAGGCAGAGTCATCACAGAGCTACAAAATATCACCCTTGAGTCCTCATTGGAGACTGATGGGAACCCTGGAGAGTTGATGATGGCAGTCAAAGGGTCTATATATTTGAAATGCACAAAGGATGAGCTCAGAAATTATCTGCCTGCCAACTTAACTTCTCTACCTGGAACAAATTATCCCAAAATCAATTTGCAAACACCTTTGCGTTAACAAGGTCTTGAGTAATAACCTCCATGGCTTTGTAAAGAAAGGCACCTAGCTTGACTAATCGGCTTAATTCCCTTCTCTGACCAAATGGTGAGCTATAATAGAGGCAATCTGAAGTTGTCCCTTAAGGTTTGCTTCAAGTCACACTGAGAAAATATTGTCTACCCCTGTTTTAAAGCAAATTCTTCTGCTTCTGGAAAATCTCTGGTGCCAGGTAATTAATTAGAACAAAAACATAGAATGAGTCTCTATCCAGAAGCCTTCATCCTAGTTCCAAACTAAGGCCCATACTGCCTTTTGCTCATCTGAATAGCCTAGAGATTCTCAACAGCACCATATTCTTGAATAAACCTACATTTTATCCTCCCCCATCACTTCCAGATTCGGTAGAATTCAAGGACTTTTTCATTCCCTTTGACAGATAGCCTCATTCCTGGTCTTTGTATCAGACTCAGACAAGAAAAACTGAAATCCTTTGAACAAAGATGTTCATTGCAGCGTTATTTACCATAGTAAAACAGAACAGTTCATGTGCCCCAACAGATGAAGGATAATTTGCATGATAATTTGATAGATTATTCTGTACCCAGCAAAGACAGTAAAACTCAATATAGTATGTAAATGAAGACGTCCAGATGCTTGGAGCAGGAGAAACAAAGCAAATCTATACCTGGCCTACTTGTCGTTTTAACTACATATAAAAATGTAAGCATATGAATAAAATTGGAACAGAGCATGGAGAAACGAAGAAGGCTGTGAGGCTGGGTGCTAGGGAGAAAATGTATTTTTCTTTTCCATTTCTTTTGTTTCACTTCTGTATTTATTACAAATAAGAATAACATACATATCAACTTTATTTTAAATGAGGTGGGGATAGAGAGATAGCTCAATGGTTAAGAGCACGTACTGCTCTTGCAGAGGACCAGTGTTCAGTTCCCAGCACCCACGTTGGGCGGCTCACAACCACTTGCTCTCTCTCTCTCTCTGTCTCTCTCTCTCTCTCTGTCTCTCTCTCTCATACACACACAATTAAAAATAACATAATCTTTAAAATTTATTTTTTAAAATGAACATTTGGATGAAACATGGTGTCACAATACAATTAATCGCAGAACTTGCAGAGCGGAGGCAGGAGCAATCTGGCATTTGAGCCCAACTTGGCCTGAGTATGTAGACTCTGTTTTAAAGGCAAACAAATTAAGGAACACCTGAAAAGAGATGGGACTGTGGGGTTCATTCTGCTTTTACTGCTCCTATGACTTTGGTTTGGTGATCCAATCTCCTGTATTCTCTGCTTTATATCCATCAAAATAGAGGTGATAATGTTACTCCAACAATGACATGAAACAGCAACTTAAAAGATCTCGGTACAGAAGAAATTAAAAAAAAAAAAAAAAGGAACGTGTCATGTCTGCAGGTTTGCCCATTCCAACTGAAGTCTGGTCTGTTTGACTGATAACATAGAACTTAAGGAACTTAAAGAAAGTAGATCGAGAGCTTGACATGACCTTTCCTTTGACCCTGATTCCTGCTGGTCCCTGTTGGCCAAGGACACTTTGCTGGAGGGAACCTGCTAGGGTGAGAGAGAAGCTGAATTCTTGCTGCACCATAGTCCTTTGCCCATTTGTGCCCATGACACCTTTTGGGGAGGACTTCCACTAACTACCTTTGTGTCCTGGTATAAGAAATGTTTATAAATCTCAGACTTCCCTGTGTTTGGGGCTTTACTAAGGTGAAGTTAGTTTCCCCTTTGAGGATAGGAAGCAGAATTTTCTATATTCTGGGAAAACTCAGATGGGATTCAGGGATATGGTAGGTGTTAACTACAGTTACTGAAGAAATATCAGTTCAGGTATTTATAGATAAAATTTGAAAATTAAAGTGTCAGTGGGGGATTTGGAGATAGTCTCTACGGTTTTTAATTTTTCATCTTTATTACTTATTTGTGTGTGTTCATGCATACACCTTTGTATGCCAATGAGTTGAAGCAGAAGACAGAGGACAACTTGTAGGAGTTAGTTCTGTCCTTGTATGCTGGGCCTGGGGTTCCAACTTATGTCATCAGGGTTGGCAGCAAATGCCTTTACCTGCCAAGCTGTCTATACATCACTATCTATGGTTTTGTCTAGAATTCTACCCCTTGTCCTTAAATGCTTGGATTCTACTCTGTAAACAACTTGAAACTGAAAGCTCTTTGTTGATTGCTTGTCTTACAGAGCCTCCCACACCCATTGCTCCCCCAGAACTGCTGGCTGTTGGGGCTACCTACCTGTGGATTAAGCCAAATGCTAACTCCATCATTGGGGATGGTCCCATCATCCTGAAGGAGGTGGAATACCGCACCACCACAGGCACCTGGGCCGAGACCCACATTGTTGACTCTCCCAACTATAAACTGTGGCATCTGGACCCTGATGTGGAGTACGAGATCCGGGTGCTGCTTACACGACCAGGTGAGGGAGGCACAGGACCACCAGGGCCTCCTCTCACCACCAGGACCAAATGTGCTGGTAAGAACATCCTCCCAGATGCTCTGCTAAGGCCAGGGGTGGGGGTAGGGGATGACTGTTACCGTGACTAGTCCTCCTCTCATCTTTGAGGACAGAACATTCCTAAATTTATCCAGTGTTAAAGTGTTTAGTATTGTGGAAAGGACACTTAAGGATTTGCTCTGGTTTTAAGAAACTCTTCTCTGGCCGTGAGTCTAAGAACTTCATGGCATGTCAAGGAGAGTCTCCTGGTATTGGCAGTACTTCTGACAGGACATTGGCTCTATCACTCTGAGGAATCCTGGTGCCATTTGCATGTCTCTGAGAGGTCTTAATTCTGTGTCTCTGGGATCCTACTCTAACTGTGCCCCTTGAAGCCCTTGTGTAGACTCCCTGCAGGCTTCTGGTTCCAGTTGTATACCTAATGTGTCTAATTCCAATCTGTCCCTGAGGGTCCTTGTCTTGGCCCTGTGATACTTGGATCTGGCTGTTTCCGTGGTGGTTCCTGGTTCGAGTCTTCTCTCTGAGGGGCTCGTAGTACCCACTACATCTTAAGAGTCTCCTGGGTCTTACAGTGCCTCAGAATTGATTCTGGAACTGTTTGGCTCCCTAGGGGGTTCCCGACTCCTGCCTGAGTCTGGTTTGGGACAGTCCCTCTGAGGGCCTCCACTATAACCGTGGGTTTCTAGCTCCAACTGTTTTCCCAATATTCCTGGATTCTGCTTAAGAGCTGCTGGCTGGGGATGTGGCTGGGAAGGTTCTTTGGATCCAACTATATCCCTGAGGCCTCCTAGCTTTGCCTGTGTTTCTAATAAGGGGCTGCGGGTAGAGACTAAATCTCTGAATGTAACTCATGAAATTAAAAGAGACCAATGCTCATTTTCTGCAAATCACAATACCTTTCTCCCCCTCAAATGACTATCTGTTCTTAATACTTTTATATCATATACCCATGAATGAGGAGAGGCTCAATATTTTTAGACTTTCTATCCAAGGTCACATGATTGGCCAGTGGTACAGTCAGGTTTCCTGGCTCCAGTGCCCTTAATCTTTGGTTACACCCTGATGAATAAATAGAGAGGTGAGAACTGTAGGTATGGGAAACTGAGCTAGGGCTGCTACTCTGCTGGGATGTGTGGCTCAGTGAAGCCTCCAGCATGGACTTGGAAGGAAAAGGAGTCACTGATGCTTCCTTCCAAAGCAGGAGCAGTAACATGGAACACATATGGTGCATCAGTTCTGTTATGAGACATGCGTCCCTAAAAACAGTGTACCCTGCTACATTTTGCAATAAAAACCACATGGCTTATGAGGAAATTGGAGCAAGAGGCATTCTGTACTCCATTAGTGATACGTGAAAAAGAGAGAGCTATATAGTGAACACGGGAGCACAGTTTTACACAGGAGGTGGATCAGAATATGAAAAATGCTGTCAGAGTGATAGGCAGCCTGACAGAGACATGATGTTTATTTGTATGAGTGGGAGACAGAAGGTTGCAGAAGGTTACCAGGAAGCTGGAAGAAAGGTATTTGAAATGGGTGGGAAGGGACCACCAGATAGAAATGGGTGTGGCCTGTAATAAGAGGAGGGAACTAAGGAAACATACAGAGGGGTGTGGATTATAACAAGTGGTGAACTGCATTATAACGTGCAGGTGTTGGAGTTCTGTGGTGGTGGTGGGGCTTGGATTCTACTTGTATCTTTCACGAGTAAAATCATAAATAAGCAAATGTAGACTTTGCATTATGTTTACATTATTCCCTCATTGATGGATTCTCCTGGAACAGACTTGACTTCTCAGCTGTTCAGGAACCCATCCAAATTGTATCTAAGTACCAAAGTAGTATAGTGTACCTAGTAGTGTGTAAGCCAATGATCCTAGTATTTCCATGGCTCAGATCAGATTCTTTGAAAGTTTTTGAACCACCATAATGAACAGAGAAAGCCATTTTCTCAATTATTTTCAAAACAGGCCTTTGGTAATATTCCTCATGGAAACCTGGTTATGAAACTGACTGCTTTAAAAGGGCATAAAGGTATGTTATTAAACTAAGAAATACCGTATCTTAGCTTTGCTATGTAATAGTCATCCATAAAAATAACTGATTTGATCCTGTTGATGAGACTTCTCCCTTTGTACAAGGTAAATGTAAGGGTTTTCAGGGTTTTTGATCTTTAGAAATGATATTCAAAGTACTTTCAAACCCCTGTGGACTTATTTGCTTATGATCATATAATGCAGTTAGAAATTCAATCACAAGATGATCATCTCAATAAAAATTTACAACCTATTGCAAAGTTACCGTGACTGTATTATGGATTTTCCATGTGACAGACGCAATAGCCTGACTATCACTATAAAAATTGTGAGGTGGGATGACCTTTGTGGTATCATATTTCAAGAAATATTGGTGTTTTAAGTGAGAGCTAAAATCTTGAATAACCCACATTCCATATGACGTGTCAACAAGAAAATTATCTTCTTCCTCACATTGCCACTGGTGGCAGAATCTTCTTTGCTTCATAATTAATTTTTAAGAGAATTCCACGACCGCTCTCCATTTGTTGAAGCTCTTTATTAGCATTGGTACTCTGAATTTTCGCCTCTTCCCCTATTCTATTATTAATCACACTGGAAATGTACTCATTATTTTGAAAAACAGAAAATGTGAGAGTGCGAAGTGTGGAAGGTATAATTTCTGCCCAGAGGAATTTACAGGCTGGGTAAGGATTCTAACAAAACAACAAATGGGGGGAAATATCAACATGAAATTGAATATTCAAATAGCAGTGAGGTCCACAAGCAAACAGTAAGAACCATGTAGATCAGGGGTTATGAAAGTGAGGTTCCTGGACCAGGAGCATCAGTTTTGCTAGAGGCTCAATGTTGGTGTCACCCACAAATTCGTATGTTGGAACCTAGGCCTCTATGTAGTAGTATGGGAGATGGAGCCTTTGGAAGCTGACTCCGTCATGGATGTGACTTGACAATTGTGGAAGAGGCCCCGGAGTGAAAGATGGGTCAGTAAACCAGGGTCAATAAACCAGGAAGTAGGCTTTACCCGAACTGTGAAAAGTAAATTTCTGTTGTTTATAAATAACTCACTTTATGATAATGTGCTATAGCAGCCCAAAAGGAATTAAGTTGTATAGATCCAGATTAGTCTCCTGACCCAATGAATCAGAAATTATGAGAAAGAAGACTCAAAATCTGTTCTTTAGAAGTCACCTGACACTGCTGTACATTCAGGCATGGCACACGGACATGCTGTGCTCCTAAGTAACATGCCCATTGTACAGCTTGATCATTAAGGTAGCTCTGAGAGGGAGATGGGAGGAAGACCATGATTGAGAATGATGAGATCAAAGTCACATCCCTTTGAAGTGCTTAGAACCAAATCTCATAATGTAAGGAGCAACTCACCACTGGCTTGATGGACTTCCTAGCCCAGGGGGACCTCTTATGCTCACTAGTGGCTTCTCAAATATGTGGTTTGGTGGTTAACTTTGGAAATCAGCTGGAAATGAATGGCAGCATTTGTCCTTTACGTCAAACACCAGTTTCTTTCCTGTGCCAAACTCTGTGCTTGGCACTGGTGGCAGAGGGTGCCTTTGTATGGATAGGCCAGGACGAGGCAGAGAATTGGCAGCAGTAGGTTACAAGCTCAAATACATTTCAAGAAGATATTGGATCACCCACATCACTAAGGGCAGATGGAGGCATATTCTTGTTGTACCATGATTGATGAGTCACTGACCAGGTAGATGCTTGGGGTACTAGAAGCAGAGGCTGACCCTCAGTGGGAGAGACGGTCAAGAGCTTGACTATAGAGTATCTTAGACCAGTGGGGAAGACAGTCTAAGGTGACACCTCGTCTGGGGGAGAATCATATTCTGAAATTGGAAATACTAGAGATGTGTTGCAGACTGAGTTCACATTTAAATGTAATGCGTTTGAGGGAAAGTTGGGTAGCAGGTAATGGAAATAGATAAATCTAGAGCTCAGGAGAGACAAGCAGATCTGTTCTACAACGTGCCTGGACTTCACCTGGATTTTGGAGTCACAGGGGCTTCTTAGCACTGATGCAAGTACGTTAGCTCTCTCTGTTTCCATGATATTGTTTAAAACGCTTCATTCATTTCTCTTAATTCATCATTTTGTTCATTTTCCTCATTTTAATCATTCATCATCATTCCTGAGATAAAGGCCTTGGGGCAAAGACAGTAATGTATATCAAAGTGTTCTAAAAAGCTCAAAATGCTCTTTAGATGCCCGTAATGAAACAAATCACTGTTGATGCATTTGTTATTGATTTATTATTGTGAACCATTACATCAAAACAAGTAGGTTTGCTTGTCCACTTCCCAGGACTAGTTCTGATGTAGAAGGTAGGTCATATTCTTTGTTCTTCCTCATTATCTCACAGGAAACCCCATTTCATAACATGATACTCCAAGTGTGGTCTGAATTCTCAGGGTTTTTTTTGTAAAGAACATTAGGTGCTTGCCTCCAGCGTAACCCCAACAGCAGGCACCCAGGGAATGATGAGAGTTTGACCCCAGGGTTGCTGTATAGTGGTCCAATCACTTTTAAATTTCCTCTAACAGGAAGGTCACATCCATACAGACTGTTTCCCTGCTGGAGTACCTAGGTTGTTACTGTTTTCTTTGCTCTGTGTTAACATGTCATAAAACTCGGGATGGGATCATACACAGAGAATATCTATTGGGATCCAAGGAGTAGGGACAACCAAGCTTTGTGGCACACATCTGCAATCTTAGTACTCTGGAGGTTGAGGCAATATCTTCTATCAAAAGAAAAAAAAAAGGATAACTAGAAGGAGACAGGCTACTGCACTATTTGGAGTTCACAGAGAACCAGAGGCAACGACATTGAGAAGGTCATCAAGGCCAGTGACTGGGGAGAGCAAGTAAGCTGAGACACAGAGATATCATACTGACCCTGCAAAGATTTGCAAGGTCTTCTGTAGGTATCAATTTTAGTTGCCTGGGTACCAGT